TGGCCTGCTGTGTTCATCCAGCCCTGCACCTTGTTGTCAATGAAGAAGGTTAACTCAGAGTACAATTGCACCTTGATCAGATGGGCCAATGGGCTGAGGAGTGGCAGGTGGGGTTTAATTTAGAAAAGTCTGAGGTGTTGTATTTTGGTAAGGCAAATAAGGGCAAGACTAGTACAATTAATGGTAGGGCCCTGGAAAGTGTTGGCGAACAAAGAGATCTAAGGGTGCAGATGCACAGTTCCTGGAAAGTGGAGTTGCAGGTAGACAGAGTGGTGAAGAAGGCATTTGAAATGCTTGCCTTCATTGGTCAGTGCATTGAGTATAGGAGTTGGGACCTCATGTTGTGGCTGTACAGGACATTGTTAAGGTCACTTTTAGAATACTACATGCAATTCTGGTTGCCCTTCTATCAGAAGGATGTTGTTAAACTTGAGAGGATGCCGAATAGATTTACAAGGATGTTGCCAGGACTGGAGGGTTCAAGCTATAGGGAGAGGCTGAAGAAGTTGGTGCTTTTTTCCTTGGAGCATTGGAAGCTGAGGGGTGACCTTATAGAGGTTTTATAAAATTGTGAGGAGCATAGAAAGGGTAAATAGCCAAGATCTTTTTCCTAGGGTGGGGGAATCCAAAACTAGAGGGCATAGGTTTAAGGTCAGGGGTAGAGATTTAAAGAAGACCTGAAGAGCAACTTTTTCATGATTAGGGTGCTGCATGTGTGGAACAAGCTGCCAGAGGAATTGGTGGAGGCGGGTACAATTAGAACTTTAAAAGGCATCTGAATGGGTGTATACATAGGAAGTGTTTAAAGGGATATGGGCCAAACACTGGCAAATGGGACTAGGTCAGACTGTGAGGGCTCACCTCACTTTTCAACCAGTATTTTGCTGACTATTAATGAGTGGAAACCCTGTAATACATGGTCTGAATTATAGGAATGAACTAGGTTAGTGAATCAACTGTCAGAGAAACATTTAGGAGACTGTATAAGGAATTATTGGTTTTATGTTAGCTATGGGAAAAGACAAGATGCAATACAAAATAAAACTAATTTACTGTGGGAGGGCCATTTTCAACAGGGTGAAAATGAATCCATTTCAACTAACGAGAGTCAATATAAATTACAATGTTCAGTTCTAAATGGGTTACAGGAGCAAAGGGAGCTGGGATATATGCATAAAAGTTATTAAAGCTGGCGGGCAGGCTAGGAAAGTAGTCAATAAAGATTATGGGATCCTTGGCTTATAAATAATGCAAAAATAAGGAAGTTATTAATATTGGTTCAGCCTGAGCTCTGAGCTTCACACATTAAAACGATTAGAGAAGGTGTGGAAATGATTCATTAGATTAGTTCCAGCCATGACAAACTTCAGTTACATGGATAGATTAGAGAATCTGTATCTCTTTGATTTGGAGATGTTTGCAGGAGATTGATAGATATGTTATATCTTACAGGTAGTTTGCAATATACCTTTCAAAGACATTCTCTTGATATCATTACGTGCTATTATTGTGGCACATGACCTGACAGTATAAAGGTTTCAGTCTCCAACTTACTGGTACCACTTACAGCATGACATGTTAAGAGAACTGTGTTACAGTTTGTAACTGAATTGCTCAATACTTGGGCACATACTGCAGTACCTGGAGCCACCCAGGAGCCGTAATAAATGTTTATTGAATTATTCAGTTGTACGTTACCAACATCGAGTTCTGATGTTATGGGAGCTAATGTAATATTGCCTGATCATGTATAAGTACCCTGTTGAAGGTTAAAAAGCCCATTACTACGTCTATAGCAGATCGTGAGGGCAGAATGGATTATTTTTGGCAGCAATGGTGATAAGCAGTGCAAAGACCATTTGTTTTTCTTTATTTTTAGTCGTGGACTAAAATGAAAGAAAACTGTTTAAAAAAAAACCTCTAATGCTCAACAATTTCTGTTTTGAAAGGAAGTAATTTGATACTCATCAAAAGTAATGTTGCTGTTCAGTCAGTAGTTCATGTTGAATATACAGACAAATAGCTGATTGGTCTGTAGTTGAATAGCTTGGGGTTGTGAACAAGTTAGGGAGAAGCCATCAGATCTCCACAAGTTCAGGAGCTGTCTAATTTTCTGCAGTAAAAGCCATCTTAAGCCTAAAGAAAACCAACCGATGTTTCTTTCAGTTGCTATCAACTACAAATTTTAATAAGTCAGAGATCGTCTATAAATGTGAACCAGTTATCCTGTCCCTCCTACAAATGAAAATATCCAGAGAAGGAGTATTGAGAAGCAACATTCTGATCAACACTAGAACCATTACAGCAAATCCTGAAAACAGGGACTAGTGCACTGCTTTTCTAGTGTTTCCCTTCTGCCTATAACATCCACATGTTTCCTGCTGCCTGAGTCTGCCTGCAAATTGTAAAGAGGGTGTTTACAAGGGCTTTAGAGTTTTCATGATTACAGTTACATGCTAATGGTTTATAGTTGTTTACATATAACTAAAGTCTATTTATAATTAATAGCAATTGTTGTTAAGTACAGCAACTTGTCAATGTTTTCTGTCAGTTTTGAGTCTAAAAGACAGGTAAATTGGGATTTCTGTGTTCATTTTAAAATCTTTCCCTTTTGTGACAACCCTGGGAATTAATGGGATAACAGAGTGTGGAACTGGAGGAACACAGCAGGCCAGGCAGCATCAGAGGAGCAGGAAAGGGACCCTTCTTCAGAAATGGGGGAGGGGGAAGGGGGCTCTGAAATAAATACAGAGAGGAGGAGGGGAAGATAGGTGGGATGGTGATAAGTGAGTGCAGGTAGATAGCGGTGGAGATTGGTCAGTGAGGTGGGAGGAGCGGATAGGTGGGAAAGAAGACGGTTAGATCAAGGAGGTGAGGATGAGAGGGATGGTTGGTCATGGGATGAGGCCGGAGTGGGGAGATTTTGAAGCTAGTAAAGTCCACATTGAGACCATTGGGTTGTAGGCTCCCATGGCAGAATATGAGGTGCTGCTCCTCCAGTTTCCGGGCGTCGTCATTGTAAAACTGGAGGAGGCCCAAGATGGACATGTCATCCAGGGAGGGGGAGGGGG